ATACTTTAGAATAAAAATACAAATATGTTAAATGGGAGCTTTGTCCAACCTCAAAAGACCAGACTAACGAAAGCAGCCACACCAGCCGAGCACACAAACATTCATCCAATTTATATTTCACAGTTATAATGAAATATGGTTGGCTCTGTCACTCTCCTTAGTAATGTCTAAACAGCTCCAGGCTAATGTTGTTTTATAGCTCCCCAAAAGTATAAACTGTGTTCCAATGTACAACATTTATTTACATTTCAATACTGTTGAAAAGCAAGAAACAGTCTTCGAGGGTTTCAGGAATATGTTAATATAAAGTACAACCACTGTGTTCTGAAAAGGAAGTCGCTGCAGGGAAAGGTCATCAAAAAAACAGTTGACCATCAATGATGAATAGAAATATAGCATGGCTGGCCGGGTAGTGCAGCACTGGTGAGACAGAAGGATAATGAATGAGATGCAGAGGTGGAGTGGGGGAAGGAGCCGACCACTAGAAGTGGAAGGGTTTGGAATATCCAGTGTTGGGCACGTTACTTTGAAAAAGTAATTAGTTATAGTTACTAGTTACTTCTCCCAAAAAGTAACTGAGTTACTAACGGAGTTACTCCACTATAAAAGTAACTAGTTACCAGTAAAAGTAACTATTGCGTTACTTTTTCGTTTTGTTCTGGAACATAATGTGCACCCGACGTGCGCATTTTTACCTTTAACAGTGCCAATATTTCCATCTAGAAAAGGCTGTTTTGCTGCTGAAGTCCTGTTCACTCTTCATCTCTGTCTGTGCTGTAAAGCCCGCCACTGTGAATGTGGAAACACCGGTGCGAAGCACTGACTTCAGTCCAATCAGATGAACATATACATCATATAAATCAAGTGGACAATTTGTTTGGCTACAGCAAAATATGTTTTATGCCCGCATTGTTTGTTCATACAAAACGCAAAACTATGAGTTATGGGTCTTACCTTATAAATGACCTGCACAGTCCACTTCGGTTCAGACCAGTTCCTTGTTTAAATCCAGTGAATGGTTTGAGCGTAGATATGTAATCCTCCATTTGGAAATGAGTCAAATGAGTTTTAAAAAGTAAAACAAAACGCGTGTGTCCTCCGTAAACTCCTCTGTTTTGCTGCAGCCGGCTGCATCCAATTTCTAAAATCAACCGTCTTACACTTCACCTCTCTTTCTTATCATTCCTATAGTAATTGAAAAATTACCCTATGTGCATTTTAGATTATGTAAAAATGTGTTATATGTATGTTAGCCAAACCTGTTGCTGTCCTTAGCAGATAAACCAGGAAGAGCAAGGAGCTTATCGATGGAATTGTATGCAGCCGACTTCTGCGCTCACATGCGCTCCTCTGTGGCTGACCTCACGGTGATACAAGCCGTGGTTGAGTGTGATTAAGACCCATATTTGTTTCAAAAACACAATTTATGACCATCCTCTCAACTGTAGACATGTAGATTGTAAAGGAAATATGATTTACATCAGCCAATAATTGCTGAGAGGTTTTCTCATCCTCCCTTCTCTCATGACAACACGTTCATTGTGCGTCTTGAGTAACGCGCAGTAACGGGATGTCGGAAATGATAACGGCGTTATAGTTACTGTCAAAGTAATTAGTTAGATTACTCGTTACTGAAAAAAGTAACGAGTTACTAGTTACAGTTACTAGTTACTAGTTAAAGTTACTAGTAACACCGTTATTCCCATCACTGGGAATATCACATTTCAAACTGTATCCTCATAGTGTCCATTTTTACTGTGACACATATTGCAAAATACCCCACCCACTGCTCTTAAATAATCCCCTTTCTTTTGCCAATTTCCCCCCCCTGTTTCTGGATTGGACTGTCAAAGATAATCTGGGATTACAGTGCTATCAGGCCCAGTTTTCCTCATTTATTTGACCAAACACTGACTGGGAGCATGTGCAGCCAAATGCAGTGCTGTTTGCAAAATAGACTGTAATGCCTGGAAAATGCCAAGGGGAAATACCACTACAGAGTTCAAACAAATCAAGTGCACTATTATGCAGATTTCAAGCCTAAAGAACACAATTTAACATATCTTCACACTAATACACGTTTGAAAAGGGGTGATGCAGATGCTTGTTTTTTCTAAACCCCCTCTCACAGTACAGACATACAGAATATACAGTACGATACTGTGCGGTACTTACAGTATTATACAATACCCTTGGGTATTAGACACACAAAAACCCAAACACACACAAAAGATTTTGTTCCCATACAAATCAATGTCTAACTCATCTAAGCGAGTGAGTGGCAAACAGAAAGTGGTGAAAAAAGCCACATAATGCTCTCAATCTAATACGACAGACCTTGAGTTGTTTTGTGAGGGCTAATGGGCACAGCTTAAGTCTGCTGAGAACGTAACAAACGGGGCTTCCACAAGATAAGATAAGATAAGATAAGATTTGCTTTATTTATCTCACATAGGAGAAATTTACATGTCACATTTGGCATGGATAGAACACTCATTGTGCACTGATTGTGCAAAGGGAGGAAATGTGCAAACATGTTACATGCAGGATATATATGTACAATAAAGTGACAATAATTATGTACAACAAAAGTGACAAGTGTCAATTGGAAACAGTGTCAATAGTAGTGCAGGTTTTCACACAGTGATCATTTAAAGTGACTTATTGTACAGTCTGACAGCGGTGGGGATAAAGGCCCTGCGGTAGCGCTCCTTCCTACACTAAGGGTGCCTCAGTCTTCCACTGAAGGAGCTCCTCAGCTCCTCTACAGTCCTGTGCAGTGGGTGAGAGGTGTTGTCCATGATGGAGGTGGCTTTGGCTAGCACCCTCCTGTCCCTCACCTCCTCCACAGAGTCCAGGGAGCAGCCCAGAGTGGAGCTGGCCCTCCTGACCAGCTTGTTCAGTCTGTTTCTGTCCCGCTCTGTGCTGCCCAGGGCCCAACACACGGCAGTGTAGTAAATAGCAGAAGCTACCACAGAGTCATACAAAGTGCTCGTGTTGAATACATATGAATACTTTCAGTTCTTATAACAAAATCATAAAATAACAGTTGTCACGTTATTGTAGTCTTTTAGACAAAATAAGAATAATGATAACAAATGAATATCATCTTTTGGTTTGAGGTGTGTAACGGATCAGGTCTTTTGTATTTCCTAGCTCCATCTGCCCAGATCCTCCCCCCAGCTGTGACCCTCCTGCACCTGCTGTGATCAGGTGGGACACATTTTGCACAATTAGTTAAATACACTTTATTTGCCATTTGTAGGCTGCAGTGCTCTTAACTTTGGGAACCATGGTCTATGGTACAGTATTTCCCTGTGGCTTGCTTCAATCTCACTCAACAGATGACAGGCCTCATTAAAAAGAACTCTAATATTCATATGATATCATTCACTGCCCATCTCCCCCCTGCCGTAATTGCGTCCCGCAGGCATTTTTGCCCTGTGTTATGCTATGAGTATATCCAATACGTTTTAATGCGATTCACTACTGATGAAGAAACCACTTACTTATTCAGCAATCAACTGTTCACTACTTTGGATTTTTATGTGGATCTACACAAGATGCCATGGCGCTCTCCTCAGTCCTCTTGCCACCACCACCTTGATTGCGTTCCTGTGATTTCCATGTAGCCAGATGAAAAGATTATTTTACTATAACTGCTATTCTTATTTTTGCGCCAATAAATTTACATTTTCTAAAACAAATGATCCCAAGGGCCTATCTTATTGTCAAGATGTCCTGTTGTATAGGTATAAGTTATCCTTTTGGGTTTGGGAGGGTTTTTTTTCTCCACTTATGCTTTAAATATATATATACAATAGGTATAAATGAGAGAGTGAATGGATGGTGTTGATTGGGGCTGATGCGCCAGTGTGTTCGGCGACTCGCTTCCGTCATCACCGTGTGTGGAATGATTGGAACAATATCTGAACTCTGAACATTGTAAAGCGCTTTGGGTGACCTTGGTCTGTAAAATGCGCTATATAGATAAACATTACTTACTAACTTACTTACTTAAATAATATAGATCAGACTAATGTAGTTTTCATACATGAATGGCCATTACCCGCCAGTTTACAAGACGGAAATCTTGCGTCTGCATCAGTAAGTAAGTAAGTAAGTAATGTTTATTATGGTATATCAGGAGCATGAGCCGCCTGCAGTGACAGGAGCCAGAGGAGAGACTAGTGCAATCAGGTGCTTTTTAAAGAAGCCCCAAAGTCTTGTGTCACACAAGACTAGTAAATGTTCTATTATTTTGGAAAACTGGGGAAGGCGGGAGGTCAGTAACTTGTGAAACTGAAGGCAGATACCACAATAGGAGGTGTCACTTGCACTTTAATATTGCCTGCTCACTCTAATTGTAGTTATTGTGTCAACTAACTTATAAAATATAACCATCAAATTCCTTGAAGAGTGACATTACAGTAAACACCCAAATTCTCAAAAATAGGGTCTAAATGACCCAGGGCTGGTCAAGTTAGGAAAAATCTTCAAAGTTCAATAAGAAAAAAAAACATATATAGTCACCACAAGGGTTACATTTAACAATGATGTTGAGTCAGTATACTCACAAATGAAATGTAGTCTGAGAATAAGTGAGGGAGAGAGAAGGAGAAAAAAGGAGAGAGAGAGAGCAAGAGAGGAGAGGAAGAGCAAGGGAGGATGAGAGAAGCTTGGAGAGAGCAAGATGGAAGGAGAGAGGGGGAGAGAGAGAGAGCGAGAGAGGGAGAGAAAAAAGGAGAGAGAGAGCAAGAGAGGAAAGAGAGCAGGAGAGATGGCGAGAGAGAGAGAGAACGCACGCAAGGGAGAGAGAGAGAGACGCGCGCATTCTAAAATTGAAGAGATTTGTGGACGTCTCAATGCGCATGCAGGCTTCAGTTGGATGAGAGAGACCCGCCGCGCAGACTGGAGGATGAGGAACTCCACACAAACACTTTCGGATTTCTTCTTTAGTTGTGTTCAATCATAATCTGTATTTTGTTCCTCGTTCCATCATGGAGGCAGAATGCAGCAGTTACATTAACGTGGACGGCGCACACGTGGACGCCTTCTTGTGCCCTAAAGTGGCCAATTCTCTGGATTATTATTGTTGTGGATTTAACGATATGAAGTACTGCTGCGATGATCCGCAAAGTTTTTTTCCGTACGAGTATGGATACATGTGGTGGCTGAGGTACGCAACTTCTTTGACCTGATGTAATGTAGATTTTAGATTATATATTTCTAACGTATAACCTCTGTAGATCTCTCTATACATTTCAAAATGAAAATCAACGCCTGGTTTAAACAGTTCACAAATATACAATGAACACGTAATGGAACAGATGTTAAAATATATGATAACATTGTAAATCATAATACAAGATAAAATAGAATAGTCTTATTTTGATATGACAACAGTTCATAATTTTCCAAGCTAAACCTATGTTTTCAATACAAATAGCATGATAATAATTTCATATTGTCCTGTTAGTTATAGGTTTGATTGAATTAGTTTGTAATTTAAAAATCCTTTAGGAACCTACTGCTCCCATACTATATATTGGAGAGCCATGACCTAAATATTGCATTGGAAGCTGGACACATGAGTATATTATACAGAGTTGGGTTCTGATCATCACTGCCAAAAGTGAAGAAAAATAAGTCAAACATTGCTCCAATTTGGCAAAAATGTATCTCAACTTGTGCCTTAAAACAAGAACAGCAAAATGACCTTGTTCTAAAAATATGTCAAGGAATGTCGCCCTTGGAATTAGAACATAAAGCAACATTTCTTGAACTATGACTAAATGGCTTGTCCCATCGGGAAATCTTTGTCAGAATATACTCAAATTATCAAAAGATAAAAACTCAAGCAATTTTTACATTCTTTTTTGCAGTGCGGTCCTCATTGTACTTACTTTGTGTCTTTCTCCTCTTGTCTCCCTCCAGCTTCGGCGCTCTGGTGGGCCTGTCTGTTGCTGCTGTTGTCCTATTGGCATTCCTCATCATTGTTTGCGTTCTCTGCTACCTCTTTATTGCCACAAAACCCAGTCGCTTTGACAACGGATTGGCTTTGAGACCTAGACCAGCAGGTAGAGTTAGTTTTTGATTCTACTAAAGCAATTAAAAACCCTTTTGTACGTTTTGGATGTTTGTTTGTTGGTCTTTTTAGAAGACGATTTGGGAGGTGGTCCGAGCCATGACAGAGGCTCACAGCTCTCTGCTCCACGTGGGATCGGAAAACTTTTTGCGAGCAGGAAACTGGGATGTGACGATCAGCAAGCTCATCATGATCACCTTTTTCAGAGATGTTTCCCTGCAAACCTGGCCGCAGTCAAAGTGGAAAGCCCTTGTTAGAACAGTTCATACGATGCAGTACTTCAACATTTACTTCAATGGTGCTTGCTTTGGATCTGTGGATCATGCAAAAAAACTCTGTGGTGAAATCAGATGCCTTTGACTTTTCCATGCTCTAACTCCTACTGTTGTTTCCATGCTGCATTTTCCAATCAGAAAATACTTAAACAGTCAGTTGTTTACTATTTTGAAAGACACTGTTGTGGATATAGTTCGACTGATCTTTGACATATGAAACATTTCTGCTGCAAGGCGATCTGCAGCAGCGGTGAAGACCTCCACCCACATCATGGTCTCACGGACTCAACAGTCAAAGATTTTACTGATGCTGTTGACTCAAAAGTGCACTCTGTAACACATTTATGAATGAATGAATGAAATATTTATTTCAAAACCTGCACACATAATTTTACAGGAAACAAGAAAACAAAAGCAAAAACACGTACAGGGATGAAAAGGGGTTGGAGGAAGCAAAAAGCTTATATTAATCCAAACCCCCCTCACCCAGACACAGGACAAACAATAAGACAGAAACAATGCCATACTGGGTAAATGCACAATCACATTATACAAATGTTTACTGTAAAGTACATACAGCAACAACAATACAGAAACTACCACTATATATTTATTATATTGCATATTATTTATTGCCATTAAATTACTACAGATACTGTAGAAAGTTATTAGTATGAAGGGAGAAAGTAACTGGAGAAAAATGTGTGTGCTCTGAAAGACTGACTCATTGTTAAGTGAATGCTCCCAGTAATAAGAGAGTCCATTTTTACACACGTGTTCCGGTGTAAACAAGATGTAGTGAATACCTAATGTATTCTCTTTTAGAACATATTTTATGTTCTCTATTAATATATTATCTATATTTTGAATTGTTTTTTTATTTTAACGTGGGCCGTTTTGGGGGGCGTTTCGTTTATTTGTCAATTTGTAAATAAGCAAACCAAAGGATTTCAGTACCACGAAAGTGTGCACCTGCTGTACTGTGTGTGGAGGTTACTAAAACTATTCAGAAACTTGCACAGCTTCTTTGAATCTGCCATTACACTATGAGGTATATTTATTATAGCACCAGTATAAAAGTGAAAGCACTCATTCAAGCGAACTGTCATCCACATGTAAATATACCCCTAAAATGATTCTGCAGTGTCCTTGGATCACTTTTCTGTTCTGTACTTCTCTCTTCAAATTTCCCTGGATCTAACAAGATGGCAAATATTGTTCTAATAAGACACTGCAGTGAACAAAACAAAATCAAACGTATTTATTAACTTTGTTTACATAATTGGGTTTCCACCTGTTTTTTTCCTCGCTCAAACTGGCTTACTTTAGACTATAGCTTATTCTTGCTTATGAATGTTCTATCTGTGCAGACAATCTAAGCCATATGCACATAAACAAATGTCACAACAAAGGATCAGTGATTTCTTTTGCAATTACATTCTGTGAATGTTCTGCAGGTTTACTCAGTCACAGCCCTCTCTTCTCAGTGTGGTGTTCCTATATACCCTGTTGAGTGAGCCTCGTTCATACATACAAATGCACAGAGCTATACCTGCAACTTGAACCGCTGCAAACAGATACATTTTTCATACAGAGTACCTAAGATTTCTGTCTGCTGCGCAAATAAATAAACAACAGTGTAATACTGTGTAAATTATCTATTTTCATGTGAATCTACTTTTAAAATGAAAATGGCACATGCACAAAACTGTTCCGTTGCAAACACTATTGTTGATATTTAGACTTTTTTCACATGCACTGATCTTGCAATTGCAGTTGATTGAGTAAATAATCTGTATTGTATAAACCAATTTTACATTATAGTCTAACCAGTTTTTAGGAATGTATTACGACACGCATGTGTCCAATTCAATAGCTGTCATTCAACACCACAATAAATACAATCCTCCATAAATGCATAAATGTGTGCCATTTACCACACAAGGGACTTTTAAAGAGGACATGGAGTGCGCAAAAATAACAATGGAACAAAATAATCATTACAAAACATTTTATTCACTTTTCTTTCTCTCTTTAATCAGAAGCAATTGTAAACCGCTTTGAGACTCCGATGTGCAGTGAAAAGGCGGTATATAAATAAAGATTACATTACATTACATTACAAGCCTGGTTCTGTGTGACAAAACCACCACCCTCCTGCAGTGCGATTCTCAATAAGCAATAATTGTGCTTGTTACTATGACACACATTTATTAAGTTCTTTGTCGAGAAAGACAAACTAATGAATTAATCTCAGCACATATGATGGAATAGTCCTTTGAAGGACATGGCAGTAATTTCTTATATAACTTCAAAGGAATGCTGTTGAAAACTGAAAACAAGTGCCAAAACATAGATTACATGCCTTTGAGCTTGTTGCTTTGATTTTTCCCATTCCTTTCAGATGTCTTTTTGCTTTCAAAACCATAGGCACTGTTTACATTTGAATTCTTGAGTAAAATCACTTGAATTGTTTGTGTGTTTGTGAAAGTAAAGGTTATGATTGAAAATGTGAAATCAGTAAGAAAGTGGTCCCTTGAGACTGCTCAGGCCATGAATATAAAGTGAGTCTCCAAGAGTCCTGCAGGACATATTATACCCTCCCTTACATGCTCACTCCACTGCACCTGACCTCTGAAGAAACCTCCAATTATTCATGGAAAACCAGGGAAAAGGTTAAACTTGTGTTATAAATGTGATGTGTGTCTTTGATGCCTTGAAGCTGGTTATCTTTGATTCGGCTTGATTTCAGACCGAACCATATCAGGCATGTGTTATAGTGGTCAGTGGTCAGACTCTTACCCCAGATTGCAGTGAGTAAATAAATGTGTTTGTCACATGATCTCCGACTCATTTGTTCTCTCAAGTTATTAATTAACGTGCGTCTTAAATGCGCTGAACAGGAAGTCATCCTCTTTACCCGAGCAATGCAACCTTTGCCCACAGTATTTTCAGAAGGAAGTTAAAACGCAGCGGAAAAAGGACTCGCTAATACGCCATACAATCTTCTGACAGGTAAGGCTGGTACTTATATTTATGCCACTTCAGAACAAATGTCACAGCTCTCAAAGATGTTAATGTTATGTGACTTTTGAGAAGTGCTTCACAGTTCATGTATCCAATAACCTCTTTTGTCAACAATGAAATCATGTTTTTTGTTTGTTAATACAATTTTATAATGATTGTTTTAAGATTAAGATTAAGATTAAGAGATCCTTTATTCGTCCCACAGTGGGGAAATTCCAGTGTTGCATCACAAGTTTTAGAACAGTATAAAAGAGGAGCACACGGCACAAGTTAAGTGAACAATAGCAATACTAATAAGAATAAAACAACATCTCTAACTCTAGCATAATTTTCAAAGAACCATTACATTTACCAGCCGCTCAGTTTGATTCAATATATGTATGTGAGTTAGCACAAAATGTCTAATTTGCTCTGGAATTATTTTGTTTTATATCAATTTTATCATTCTGACATGTTAATGATTGATTGATGGTGTTTTCAGAAGAAATGGAGATGAGACCGGGGAGATCCATCCTCACAGGGGCACTTCTATTTGTTTTGAATGTTTTGGAGATACACGTGACGTGTGCTCCCATCTCTGAGATCCATGGAGGTCCACAAAGGCATCTCCTGGCTGAAGTGTTAGATGTAGAGCCAACAAAAAATGCTTCCCTTGAAAGTAAGTGGCAAAAACACTTGCGCTTTTATGGTCTGGTAGCTATGTGTGTGTGTGTGTGTGTGGACTTTGCTCCCCCTAAGACCTATTTAAACTGTATTGTGTGTTTGGTTGGTTTGTCCAGTGGCCGTCGGTCCAGAAGGAGGAGTGAAGTCTCTGGAGTGGTCGTACTTGGCGGCAGGACTCGCCACACTCCTCTCTCTCTCACTCCTCATCGTCATCGCTGTGAAGTATCAGGTTTTCCACCGCTTCCTGGCCAGCTACAGACACTCACTTCTTGAAGAGAGCGATGGTGTAAGTCAGTATGGACCAGAGGAGGTGGCCTTTCCCAACAGTATATCCTCTCGTGTGGGAATGGGTCCTGGGACACGGACCGAGATGGAGGATGATGATGATGGCTTCATTGAAGACAACTATATTCAGACAAGTGAGCGGCAGAGGGCAGAGAGAGAGGCACTAGAGGAAGAGGAGGAAGAGGAGGACAGTGATGATGACCTGGACCTGCAGTTCACCATAGGCTGACAGCAGTCATCTTCACCCACAATCTATTCTATAATTTCATCTTCATTGAACAGGACTGAAACGTCATGTAACGCATCAGGTTAGCCTCAAGTGTGGGTTTGATTCCCATCTTTGGCAATTGCTTGATCTCTTTCCTTCTCTTGTTTCTTTTTTATCATAGTATATCCTTTGACGTGACTGCCTTTCATAATGTAAAAAAATATTATACAATATTATGTTTTTTTGTGTGCAATTTTCCAAATAAATATAGTGCACTAAATAAATAAATCACTAAAGTGGTTAGGGCGTTAGATAAGGCTTGTCCTGCTGGATGACATGTTCTGACCAGAGACTGTGAACATTGGGACAGTTGGTGTGCTCATTGTCCTCATTCTTGGGGCCCTGTATGTGCTGTTTCTCCTCTTGACCAGCAGCAGTATGCAGTAGAGGCCTGCCGCCAGGGTGAGAGCTGCCCCTGCAGACAGCAGGCCAGCTCCAAACAGGAGCATGTCCCTCTTGTCCCGCTCCCTGTGTGCTGAGGCCACACAGAGCAGCACTGTCCCACACACAGACACTGTGCTGCCCACAGCCAGGAAGAGCACAGGGTCCACATGGCCCCCACTCCTCAGCTGGTCGATGCGGTGCCGATTGCGCACACAGTTCATGTCCTGAATGGCAGAGCTGAGCAATTGTTTGAGAAGAACCACCAGGGACAAAAGACACAGTGCAGTGCCCACAGCCAGACGCCACTCTCCCGACAGGCTGGATGTGGTGGACAAAACACCTACTCCCCCAACGCCCAGCCCCATGATCAGAGCCACTGAGGAGCAATAACAAAGCAGCGACTGGCGAGGCTGGCGGGACCACCACAGCTCCAGCTGCTCGTCCAGGACACGCCGGTGGAACATGGCTGGCTCCAGCTGCAGGGGGCGGTGGTGATGAATCTGGAGATGAGACATGGCCTTCTCACATGTTCAAACTACAGAATAGAGTAGACACAAGAGGAAATCTCATTAATTATATTGATGTATTATATTTGAATTAAGGCACTTAACGTCTAGCTTCCCAAAGCTTCCCAATATGCAGCACTTAATTTTCAATTTGGTGGTCATAAGTTATTCTTGAAGCTACAGCTGCCATGTGGCAGACTGATTAAAGTGAGGTGAAGAAGGCCATCTACCCCTCTGTCAATCACATCGTCACGCACTATACAGGAAATGTGTGGTGGACCTTTTGCTGGGTCCTTTTCCGCAATCAATAATTTGACTTTAAAGTCACAAAAGTGCTTTACTGAATGAAAACAAAATACAAAATGGACAAACTAAACATACCTTTTCTGTAGAAATAGGCGATCCATCCATGTATACAAGTCAGTAATTACAAAAAGCGGTTATCCCACCAAACCACTTTAATTGAGGCCAAAGCACGACGTCTGACCTTGAATCATGTTTTTCCATCTATGTGAGTCCAAATAGTCTCTTGATCTCCCTCATATAGACGCTTTTTTAAACAATCTATCCTCTGGTTTGCAGTTGCCATGAAATGATTTCAGTCCCCCTCTTCTCCAACTTCTCTGACTCGTCCACTTACAGAGCCTTCACCTTGAGATCCGGAAAGTAAACATGTCAGGATAACAACAGACCACAATAGTGGACCATTAGTAATAGTGCTGCTGCTAAAGCCTTGCCCCAGAACACACAATAGACATCATGGTGTGGAGGAGAAGGCGGTCCCAGGCTGGACGTGCTGCTGATGCTGTGAAGGCCCGGGTGATGTCACTGTGAGCCTATAATGGTGGTTCTGTGATCCTAAGGATAGCGTCATTCACAATGACAAGTTGTAGTTGCTTCTATTGTCTATACCAATGTTTCACAGCCAGGGGTCCTATGAGTGACACCTTGGGTTACATGGGCACAATAGAGGGAACAAAAAAGAGTTTAGAATGAATACATTTTGTAATTGAAAGTGAATTGCTTTTGTGCTCTGCGTTATTGGAAACATCTACTGTACAAATAAAAAAATAACTAACCTCATACCAAGTTCTGTTGCAATATTGGAGTTGCTCAAGACAAAACAAATGGTTTAGGCCTACACAAAAGGACAAGGAAGAGGTCACTTTTGTAAAATTAGATGAATCTTTGTCTTTAGTTGTTGAAACATTTGTGATAACAAAATAAATACTTGTGCATATACGTATAATATGCAATGGCGATGGAGGTCTGTTTCCACCATAAAATATACATATGAAAACTGGAAGAGCTGGAGAATATAGAGATGTCTAGATGTGGAATGCTTTCTTATCTTCTCACGACACAACATACTTACTTAAAATGTAATTAGTACGTACATAATTAAGTTTTACCCTTGATAAATACATTATTAATAATGATAATAAATTTATCTCAATCTTGACACCCAAATTCATTCCATTTCCCGTCTTGAGAGTAATCTGTAGGATGCAATCTGGCATGAGATAAGTTATTCACACGGCATGATTCAAAAATTTTTATTAAAAACAACCACATACCACAACACCAAATGAAACTGATACAAACATGGAACTCTCAGTGTATCATAGAGAGGAAAAATGTGAATGAAAGTCGTGCTATCCACTCAGCCACCACGGTGGCTGAGTGGATAGCACTCTCGATTCTCAGGAAGATGGTCCTGAGTTTGAATCCCGGTCGGAACTGGGCCTTTCTGAGTGGAGCTTGCATGTTCTCCCCGTGTCTGCGTAGGTTTCCTCCAGGTGCTCCGGTTTCCCCTACCACTAAAAACATGCACAATAGGTCTGAATGTAATGAGTGAGTAAGTGAATGGATGGTGTTGATTGGAGGCTCTGATGCGCCAGTGTGTTCGCCGACTCGCTTCCATCATCACCGGGTGTGAACGGAAAACTATCTGAACTTTGAACAATTGTAAAGCGCTTTGGGTGACCTTGGTCTGTAAAATGCGCTATTTGACTAATCATTACTTACTACTACTTACTTCTTATCCTCTCACATTATTTTCTTGTCACATTACAGTTTTTGAGGTTGTATTGGATAATTTCCATAGACACACCTAACAACATCTGCACACTGGTTGTATAACACGAATGGACTTGACCGTGGGGTTTTTGCGCTTGGGATTCGGCCAGAAAGGAGACCGTTAATTGACACATAATATAAATTTGGACGGTCTCTGGTAAATGATGCCTTTCCATACCAAGTTCTCCGTGGTGCGGGAGGGCCATCTAGAGGCTTGACAATAGTCGCGCATGCCTTGGCTAATTGCAGACCAAAGGCAGAGAAAACTCTTGTTTAGTTTCATTTATTTGAAAAGGGGACAATGTAATACATTACATGAATAAACATGAGTGAAGCTAGAATTAGCCAAGAGGCAATGTGTTATGTAGGCGTGATATTAAAATAGAAAACAGTCTATGGTATTGTCTCTAACATCTCTTCATATAGAAACATGACTCAATAAGTAGATAGTAATTATAATAGGAACAGAAGCCTTCGTTTTTTTAAATGCATTTTACATAACACTTTAAAATAGAAACAAAAATAAAATATTAGAGGCATGTTTTAATCACATAAATTGTAAAAAACGTGTTAACCACAAGATGACGCCATTGCTCAGTGTTACTTTGGTCACAAATGGAGGTGACCTAAGTAACACATAAGTATGCACTATTGGTGGTCTAATAAAGTCATTACAGTTACAAACTCTCAGTATTATATATGACTACACACTTTTGAAAAAAGCTGAATTTGAAAATATGACATAAATTTAAAGATGCATTACACAACTGTCCCAGTGCAGAGTCCTCCACTTTTGCTTTGGATTCATCAAACTGTTGCGAATTTGCCAGGACTGTCTTGACTTTCGATTTTACACTGTTAACAAACAAATGAGTCTTCACTCAGCCAAGTTATGGACATGTCTGTGAAGAGGATTCTAATTGCACCATAATCATCAAGTATTATGTTTTAAACCATACTGAGCGGCATACCAAACAAAGTCATTGTGTATAGAAATGTGTTAGCAGACATATGCAGGATGAACCAGACCGTCAGACCAGTAGCCTACCTACCTCAGCATGTGGCATATGGTGTTGTAGGATCTTGGGACCTCAATCTAAAACTGATGTTATTATTTTTATGGTTAAAACAAATTGGTTATCTTTTCAGTGCACTGAAAAGTGCAAGAAGTGATGAATTGGGACATTCAAGGACAATTGTGGACATGAGCGATATTATTGCATTTCTTGTGTTTGGACTGTTTGAGGAAGAGGTTGCTGAGGATTAAAAGTATTAAGTACAATATAAGGTTTTGTCATGTTATTATCAAGGTACACTACAAAATGGGGGTGACAGTAGCTTAGTTTGAAGAGCACTGGGGTTTGGTCGTGGGTTCGGGCCCACCACGATCCATGTCATCTGCTCCATCTGATGTCTGCTGTCGTTGTGTCCCTGGGTAAGACAACCCACATTGCCTGAAGCCTCCACTGAAAGACCAGGCCATCTTGTCGAAAAGCCATCATCATTGTGGACCTACCACCTGCATGAGGATCAACGAGGGGCTGGTGCTTTAAAGCTTGGGTGGCAGCTCCAATTGCCATCCCATTAATTAAGGGGAAGACAATGACATGACACATCACAGAACCTTATATTGTCTGGTATAGAAGAACCAAGATGAATCTTCCTAAACTAGGTTGTTGAGGAATCGACAACTCTTCCCAGATGAATAACCTTGCCTGCAAGCTGAATTTGCAGTATTTGTGACATCACAAACACACAATATGATATTATGGAGAACTAACTTGAGTCCTACACAATCATCAATCTGGCTTTTGCCAGGCTACTAGATGACTGCTGCTGTGTTAGAAAATAAGTAGAATTGAACTTTAGGCACAAGTAGACTGTGGTGTTTTTTTTTCTTCTTAAAAAAAAACTATTACATTACATTTATTTTGTAATATAAAGTGATATTCTGTATACAATTCTTCACGTCTTAAAATCTCACCCTGCTCTCATGCGCCTTTGTCCTGTGAATCCCCCAATCACCGACAAGCTTGGAGGGGGCAAAGACTTCTCTTATTCTAACACTTTATGTTTATCTCCATTAAAATGACTGATGATGTCGTCAGATCTGGTCGTGGCCTGTAGTTGAAGAGCTGCCTGGTTTGCTCAGCCCCTGAGCCACTGCCATTTGTGTCGAAACAAACAATAGTGTGTTAGGTCTCTCTGCTGCTCCTGCTCTGCAAATCTGAGTAACCTCATCGTCATTTGCATATAGATGAGTAACATTGGATTATTGCTGAGGGCTGTATTAAAAAGAGGTTGTTTAACACGATCAGAAACAGGGACCTGCTAAGGTGAAACAGGTGGTCTGATTCTGCCATATTGACCACTGCATCACAAGCCTTTTTTTATTGTTATGTGAAGTAGCTGCTCTGTTTGTGTTGTCAAGGCCTTTCCTGTACCCTTCATTACATTTGTACAAAATGTAGGCTTTGACTAGGGATGTAGTCAAAAGTGTTTCCTTTAAGACTCTTGGCATGTCAGGTCTACAGGACACTATATGGACCAAATATTTCTATGTATGATTATTTGATCTTCTTGAGCCTGATATGCAATATTTGGAATCTTAATGGAGAAAGGTTCAGAATTAGATGTTTACATAGAAGTAAACATTTATTGTTAGTGACATCTAAATCTAAACAGATTTGAGTTTGCAATCAACCATGCCTATTATAGCTAGAGTACCTTACTTTGAGCAGTTAAGTTATTCACAACATTTGAAAGACATGTAACAGGTTCATGGCTCTCAGAACTGTTTGGTTTTAGTTTTATCCCAAAAAAATGTTCACTTGCATTTTTTGGCTGATATTAGCTTTGGACAGTGTTCCCAAACCTTTTTAAGATTAAGAGATCCTATAGTCCTCCTACAGTGGGGGGACATTTAAGTGTTTCATCAAGGGATACAGAACAGCAGGAATGAAGAGCGCACAACACAAGATGCATTTTTGAGCCGTGGCACACCATTTTCATTGAAAACAACCACATGACACACCACAAGCTGAAACTGATACAAGAGTGAAACGGCAGCATTTATTTACAATGGAAAGTCATTCTCAACAAAAAGTATTACAAAAATCAAATACAATCTTCTCACATTAAATTTCACATTATTTTGACCTCTTATGTGATAATGGATTCTTTCCGAAGGCACACCAAAAAAAATCTCAAGGCGCAAAAAAAGCCCCAATATAATAAATAAAAAAAATCTAAACAAACCAGTCCGATGTCTCCTTAGCCCCGCCCCTTGGCCTGCATCACGCGCGCAGCAGCCACTCAGCGCGCGTGCGGCTGGACTGAGCGCCGCAGAGAGCCTCCACTGTCTGTCGGGCTTTTGTTTAGTAGATGTGAATGAGCTCCATCACCTGCTCCAGAGATGTGGACGGATTTACGGACACTGTTACTTTTTCACTTGCTACTTCTGCGGCTTCATTTCACCGGAGGTTCGTGCGGTTTCCCTCGTGTTGGCTCTTGGGTCTGCGTGGGCTTTGTGACTCCCAAAGCGTGGACATCTCCTGCCAGCTTCTTGTTAATGAGCGCTGGAATTGAGAGCGCTTCTGTTATTCTCAATCGTAGTGTTTCTTCAATTAAACTACAAGAAAACATACTTGCTTGTAGTTAGCTTACTTATTCCAGCGCGCGATGTGTGATAGAAGCAGCCAGATATGCGTAAAAACACGTGAAGATGCTGTTTCTTTGGTTGTGAGCATCCTAGCCTCCACCGCTCAAGAGCTAGTAGCATGCCCTGTACACGTTCATTGACAGTGGGAAATTGTGCATCTCATCAGCCAGTTTCATAAAAGCCTGTGACAAAAGATAATAAGCAGAAAAAGCGAACCCCAACGCTCTACGCTCCAAATCCAATTGACCCGAATGCTGAATTTCAATTAGGCATTCAATTGCAAATAACACTTGAACTAGTGCTGCCCTAACCATATCTTTGTGTTGGTAATTTTCATGTTTCTGTTTTCTATTGTAGCAACGGATGAGTGTGAAGATGGACAGTTCCAGTGTAGTAACCTAAGGTGCATACCGACCCTCTGGAGGTGTGACGATGATGACGACTGCTCAGACAACAGTGATGAAGAGAACTGCCGTAAGTGACAAGCATGTGCACCCACGCACCTGGATCATTATGCGCAAGATGTCCCAGAATTAAAGCATTGTAATTGAAGTGGTCTTTCTCAATTTATTCATTGAAAAATCTAATGTAAGTGGGAGAATGCTCTGTTTCTCGAAAATAATGGGGCATAGTTGTGTGTTATTTTCCCCAACAAGGAGTATATAAATAAATGTGTTGAATTTCCAACAAGCAGCAGCATACATAAATATTTTGAAATGATGTTTGGTTCTTGTACCTGGAGGCATAACCTTCTACCTAGAGGTTGATAGTTTTTTTGTCCCATGATCCAAATAAAAGCGCGAGTGATGCTGTTTGAAGACGTCTGATCTATAGGAGCCATACCAGCAGAGATCAGTGTCATGATTGTTGCTCTCTAAACTGTTAAAATCAGCACAAGGTACAGTGGTGGCGTTTAGATGACAATTATTCAATAAATTGATAATTGAACTATTTCAATTATCTATTTGTAGGTTGATAGGCTTATTGTAGTTTTAGGAATACTTCACATACTGATTGTGATGTCTTGTTTGTTGTTGTTGTCAAAAGGAGCATGTAAAACTTATTTCGTAAGTCATTGTCAGGTCTTGAAATGGTGTTTTGTGTCTAAATAATAAAATCTTTGGACCCATTTCTGACTGAGAGCCGGTGGCCTAGATACTGTATATTTGGAGAAGCTGAATTCAGTGAAGTTGTGCCAAAACAGTTTGTGTGCATGGCCCTGCAGAATCTTTTGTGTCTGCTTTAATTGTGGCTCCAGAGAAATCCTTGCACCTTCCTCCCAACAGACTGAATGTGTACAACTGTATGTTGTATGTATGTGTATGTGTGTGTAATGTCTCAGTGAATTTAGACCGTACCATTTAGACCGTACCATTTTATTTGTAGTGGCGACCAGGAGGTTTCCTCAGGCATGGCTAAGAAAAGCAGGTCATTTGGAGTGTTGTCATTCTCAGTAATTGATGTGTCATATGATTTATACACGCATTGAAGCAGCTAACGCCATTATTAGTTGGCTGATATTTTCAGCATTGTAAAGAAGAATGTTCCATCGTTGTAATGGGAGAGAAAGGATTGCTTTGGAATGTATCATAAATATGATTGCTCATTGTTTTTCAGATGCCATACATTCAGTATGTTTTAGTAGATTCACATGAAGAATGTATTGCTATGCGGGAAAGCAAAATCCCCACAAAGAGTCTGTGATGTGGTGTCTACTTGATTCACATAAGACCAGGTTACATTACATCCTTGTGCAGCTGTGTCAGTAACTGTTTCAAAACTCAAACTCGTCTCCTAGAGCTTCTAAACATGGGCTTTGCCGTTCATTATTGACAGTTCAAAATGAACACAACATGATATTTGAAAAAGCTTTCAGTCTTTTCTTCTTCCTCTAGTGTGGGCAGCTAATGGCTGATTATTCTGCCATTCACATTCCTGGTAATTGCTTTTACGTGGTTTGATTCAAACCGAACTCACTCTGTTTGCACAAACAAATTACCCGAACAGTTGAACAAAACAAAAAACTGTTTGTAATTTAAACATTGAGGAAATATTACATTACATACAGTATATATTATCCTAAAGTTTCTGTGAATGAATGTCCTTATATTTGACCCTTTTACAACCTGAGAAATAATCCACATTTGTTTTTGGACAAGAACGTTTAAAGTTTTTAGTGTTCACTGTGATATTGAATTCTCAAGCTTTTTTCTTTAACGTTCAAATAGATTTTATAATATTGTTGTGTGACAACTCTTATCTTCAGCAGAAGTCACCAATTGCAAGTAAGCTGTGTGTGTGGGAAGAGCGTATGAAATGTGCTGACAGGACTGAACGTTTACTGCAGCCTCCATGACAGCAGTCTCACCTTGCATTTAAACCGAGGACGTATTTGACCTGAGACAGTGCTTTGAAAATGTATTATAATATAAAGTATTCCGTGTGATCTCTCCATCATCACTGAAGTCCCATCCCCCCAGGGCTGCCCCAGACCGAACCCCCTCCCCCTTCATCCCATCGGGCTCCCCACTGACCGATCGTCTTCTGCTCGTCCACATAAGCACACACACAACATACAGTAACAGAGGACCGTGCGCCTCTGTGGTTTAGATTCTCCGACTCCTTAAGATGTGATATGTAGGAGTTAGGGTCAGAAAGGAACAGGTTAGACCATTATTAGGGTTGGAATTGGCAAACAATTTGACAATTCGATAGAATTTGCAATATTTCTGCCAGAAATCAAAATTCATTATATATTTTGATACAGCAAGTATTGTGATTCATTTCCCTAATATCATTCAAAGGCATTAAAACATTTCACACTCAAATGACACAATTTTAATTTAATTATTGAATTCAATATTTGCACTACTGTATCGATTTTATTGGATGGCAAATTATCGCAATACTGAACAGAATATATGTTTTCTCCCACCACTAACGATAATTGACACCAATATCAATCAATGTAATTATTTGTGATTGTTTTTATTTTCACTAGTCAAATTATTAGTCCAGCTTGCTGTTGTCTGGTATAGAAGAACCAAATACTTTTATTTATACTAAGGAGACAAGATGAACCTCCCTAAAATGTAATTGAAATCACATCAAGCGATCAGTGTTGCAATCCAGATGCCAAAATGCCTGAAGAAGATGACATGTCTGGGATCGCTTCTTTCATTCAGACAGAAGACATGTTTTATTGTCGATGGTAGAGACAGCACGAACAAAGCACGAACACAGAATGCAAGTGTATTATACAGAGCGGAGGCATGGAGACCTCCAATCAGCAGCTTCCACGGTGCTAGGAGAGATAGTCAAAACATGAAGTGGAAAAGTACAGGCTTCTGCACATTGATAGAATGATGAGTTTAACCTTAACAAAAGTTGTTTAAAAGTGTTATGAAATCTCACACGCCCTTGCTAATGCTGTCGATGTAGTTGTAAACATTGACAACATCCTGAACGTGTTTGAGATCATGTGAAATCGAATTGTTTTTCTATTTCTCACGAGTCATCAAATTTATTTCATCTTTAGGACAACATTCCAAAAAGCCTATGGTGTAAATCTTGGTCAATCCACAAATTTCTCTGTAATTCTTGGGCCAATCCACATGAAACAAAAGAAAGCTGTCAAAAAAATTTTTTAATCAACTATGGTCTAAAATCAGTTTAAGTGTCAACAGTATGAAGGATTTACAAACACAAGAAACTAATCGCCATCAACTCACAGTGTTGGGAAATTGTTTTGATGTTTTTGTTTGACATTTTCTCTCAGAAATTTCCTCTTTCCTCTAGTGTTGTATTGGCACCTGCTCTCGAACATTAATTAAATCCTCCAATGCGAACGCAACCGATTGTGTAAGTTTCTATAATTCTATTTCCATAAACTATTCTTCCCTGGGAGTAAGGGGTGTTTTGGTGGCAGAGGCGCAGATCAGAGCAGGGTGTCAGGCCTGGCTCGGCTCGGCACACCTCTTTTCATCTTCAGTCCTGATAAAGATCTGTTTCATCTGTTCTTCATGAATTTTGCATGTGTACCTGCCCCGTGAAGCTCAGTCAGCAGCACAGCACTCCTGCTGCACTTGGGGACTCTGGGTCTAAACAGCTTGACATTTGTGACAGTGTGAATCTGCTCCACACCTGCTGGTCTTTATCCGAGGCACTTTTCAATAGAGACATGTGGGTTCTTCAGCGTTACAGAGACTGGCGACATCCCTGCCAATCCGCAAAGCCTTTACATCACACAAGCGCGCACACTTTGGTCTCTGTCTCTGAAAACAATATGGTTTCCAGTCTGTAAGAATGTCTTTATATACACTGAACTAAAAAGATGAATTGTTAAGTATTTTTGATTCAGTCTTTGTAAAGGACTTTAGATTAAAACAGTTGAAATGACCGTTTTTAGTTCACAGTGAGAACCTTAAGCTATGTTTAAGGCTTCGAAGGTTCTTTTAGTAAGACAAATAATGTAAAGAAAGCTAGGACTGCCTAATTACCTGACATGTTTTGGCGATATACTTTGGCCTTCGTCAGAGGTGACACGTGTTGGTGTTTTATCAGCTGTTGGTGCCGGATGCGGGCAGTCTGACAGATCTCACATTACATTGTATTGTACATTGTATGCATTACATACATTCACATTTTTTTGTCTCATTAAAAGAACCTTCTAAGCCTTAAACAGAAGAACACAAAATTAACTTTTCACACTTAAGCTTTGTTGTTGATAACAATTGTATGTGTTTGAAGTTTATCAGCAACGATAGGGTCTTCTGACAGGATAATCATCATATGCCTCTGTCATTTAGGATGATTCAAACACAATTCACTCCAGGTTCCACTTGCGACAGATCTATTCAAGCATTTTGTTATGACTGGCATCCATCATGGAATGCTCCGGAAAGAGAGAGTTATTGTCAGCTTATGGCGTAGATCTGTTCTACTGACAGGGCAAGGAGAAGACAGTGTGATACAACACAGAAACGTTAAACATCTACTCTAGGCCAATGAGTTAGTAATAGGATTCAAAGAATTAAAGTTGCAGTGATAAACTCAGTGATACAACATTGTGATGGAGGAGTTTTACTTAAAACAGTAATCTGCACGTGAGTTGAGGTTGAGCTCACACATAAGGGATAGGTTATGACTTTATCTCTTTAGGCAATGAGGCATGTTTCCTTTTGGTTTGATGTCAGCTTATGTTCCCACGTGAGATGAAGTATGATAAATTCATATAAAAGCTGGATGCATTTCTAAGTAAGTATAGGTGTAGTATCTTAAGCCTAGTGTATATTCGTGAGGCGCTGAGCTTCTGGTGGCCCTCGGGATGTTAACCTGTGTCACATGACCAAGACAAGGATCACCGCAAGACCCTTGCGTAGCCACTCGGGCTCCCACAGACTAGAGTTTTGTAGCACATCGAACATTTATATAATGTACAGTCGTTTTTTTTACACTGTTCCTGTCTTTTGCAC